TATTTGGTTATGCAAAGATGTTAAAGCAGTCAAGATGAATTGTCTAAAAGCATTAGAATCACCTCGATGAAGTTGTGGCAGCAGAACTAGATTGTTTCAGTTCCCGCTGAAAGTTATCCATTTGACTTTGGAATGACTTTGACATCTCCATAAGTGAATCTTTCAGTGCTTCCATGGTGAAAGTAGTTGTAAAGTGCAGTGATGTTAGAGAAAATACTTGGAAATAAGAGCTGGTAGGTAGTAATTTATTACATATAAATAATAAACATAAAATTCAAACTGTAAATATTTTTTAAAATATATTTAAATCTAAGATGTCAAAAATGTGTACTACTCAATTCACATACCCTCACAGAAAAAGATGAAGAAGATGCTATCGAAAGCTAAACCTAATCAGATCGGGCTTCTTAAAAAGCCGGATGGTAACTTCACTAATAGTGAAACAGAAACATTGGAGTTACTAGCGTCAACCCATTTCCCAGGGTCACACAAAACTTCAGCCTTGAATTCTTTCAGAGCCCTACGAAGGCCTTGCAATGAGGACTGGTGTAGGGCTGCAAAGATAATAAGGCCAAACCTGGTGCAGTGGGCTGTTGACTCCTTTGAACCATTTAAATCAAGCGGGGAGGATAAAATAATTCCCATCCAACTACAGAGGGGTATCGACATCCTTCTTGCTTATCTGGTGAAAATCTTCAGAGCAATTTTTGCATGGGGATATATTCAAGAACGATGGACAATTGTCAAGGTTCTATTTATACCTAAGGCTGGTAGAAAGGACTACGGTTTACCAAAGTCCTTAAGACCTATAAGCCTATCTTCCTTTCTTCTTAAGACATTGGAAAAGGTTATAGATAGATATATAAGGGATGTAGCTCTAGCTACGAAGCCCATACATTACAACCAGCATGCTTACCGCAGAGGCAAATCTACGGAAACAGCCCTGATCATTGTCATTGACAGGGTCGAAAAAGCACTGGAGGATAAAGAAATAGCTCTTTGTGCCTTCCTAGATATTGAGGGCGCCTTCGACAGTAGCCCCACATCACTGCTGATTGGGGGCCTGACATCTAAAAATGTTGACCCCATAACCATCAGATGGGTGAAGTCGATGCTCTCAAACAGAAAGGCAAAAATAGCGCTGTTTCAAACTTCGATTGAGGTTGCAACTACAAGAGGATGCCCACAAGGAGGTGTTTTGTCACCCCTTCTTTGGACTCTTGCGGTTGACCAACTATTGTACAAAATGACAGATCAACGCATTGACAAATTGGTTTATGCTGATGACCTTGTGATCATTGCGAGGGGCTTTTGCCAAAGTACTTTATCGTCAATAATACAAAGAGCCCTAAACACCATAAATAACTGGTGTAGGGATAACAGTTTATCAATTAATGCATATAAAACTGTTATAATACCCTTTACCAAAAAGAGACGGTTGGACAAATTAGTTCAATCAAAACTTAATGGCGAAGAAGTACCATTTTCCACGGAAGTTAAGTACTTGGGCGTAACAATCGACCAAAAACTAACGTGGAACTCTCTCCTTAGCAACGTATGCCATAAGGCAAAAATTGCTTTAGGTACGTGCAGTCGTTTGGTCGGGAACAACTGGGGCTTGCGTCCCAGTATGGTCCTATGGCTGTACAGCAGCATACTGAGGTCGATTCTAACCCACGCCTCTGTTGTCTGGTGTAACAAGGCCAACCAAAAGACGACTGCGGACAGACTAAATAGTCTACAAAGGACTGCCTGCTTAATGGCAACTGGAGCTATGCGATCATCGCCTGGAGCGGCTCTTAATGCACTTCTATGCCTAACGCCCCTTGATCTCTATCTAGACAAGGAGGCGAGGGCTAGTTTGTTTAGGATTAATCCTTATCTACCTAATCGTAAACGCCCAGGGCGGTTTGAGCTTGCTCTCCTACAGATTGAGATCAGTGGCGAAGCCTCTATAGAAGCCGAAAAGCCGGGCTTGCCTTATCAAACTGAATCAATTAATAATATCAAACAATAATAATATCAACTAATAAAATAACTCGTAAACTGTTTCAAACTATTTCAAGTTTCCCACGCACTCCCCTGTTCGACACAGGTCGACCGATGACCTCGTATTGTCTTCGCGATACTACTGCTATCATAAAAAATGAGTTTTAATTGAGCGATTGGTTGTCTCCCTCGCTCGCGTGGGCTTTTTACGGGGCTTTTGAGAAGACATTCGCTCTCTTTCTAACCTATGGCAAAATATTCTATAATGAAATATAACTACGATTGTATATATAGCAATTAGTATAGAGAGTTAATGCCAGGCTTTAGGAATGAAGTTGTCGAGAGCAGAGGCGCGCGGGCGATACGTTTGCAAGTTCATTTCACATTTCAATGTTTATTTACTCTGTGTGTTTAGCGTAAGCGATTTTAATATTGCGAGTTGATGCCTTTTTAAAGATTTTTTGTGAAAATGGAGGATAATAGTGTTCCTTGTGATGAATTGAAGTGTGTTAAAGTGCTAATCGTAGAGGAAAAGGTAAAATCTTTAAACTTTGTTGAGATAATACACAAGGTTAAGAGTGTATTTCAGACTTGTCAATTATCGCAATTAAAAAACAGTAATTGGTATAATTAAGACGTTCACCAACATTTTACGTGGACGTAATTAAATCTTTCCTTAAGAAGGAGAGATAATTCCATTTAGAATGTAAATAATTTTTTTTTTAATTTTGTACATTGTTTGTAATTTGATCATGTTTTATTTTTGTTCATGTATTGTATTGTATATAAATATCTTTTTCTTTCTTTCAAACAAATCCAAACGGCTTTCTTCAAAGCCACCGAAGCTATGCAATTGCTGATATGTAATACAATCTATCTAGCAGTAGTATGCCTTCTGTGTGCTTTGTAAACACGTCCTTGACAGCACTGAATATGAAACTGAAGAGTGGAGACAGATCAAGATTGGTGTGTTTTTATAAAACTGCTAAAAACAACAATCTATATTTTTATCAATTTATATCTTGGGCTTGCCCTAGTTTGCAGCTCTAGCTTCGCCACTGATTGAGATCCATGTTCAACTCAATTAAGGAATCACCGGTCTTATGCATGATCTCAGATATCATGCGTCCACTACACACTTTTGATAAAAAGTATGTAGTGGATTTACCCTCCAGAGAAGACTGGCTGAATGGCCAGGTTATCTGTGAGGTCGGTAGCCTCATATGGTATACCGATAGGTCTAAATTGGGCCTCGACGTAGGCTTTGGAATTTACGGGGAACGCCCCAAATTCAAACTTAGTATGAATTTGGGTAGATACACCTCTATCTTCCAGGCAGAAATTTTCGCCATACTTCGGTGTGCGGAAATCAATCTTCAAAAACACTACCTCAACTATAAAATTTACATAAACTCTGATAGTCAAGCAGCACTGCTAGCGCTGAGGTAGCAAATTTAGTGAACTCGAAGCTAGTTGGAGAATGCGTGAGCCGTTTAAACGCCCTGGGATGTAATAACATGGTCGTTTTAAGATGGGTTCCGGGTCACGAGGGTATTGTAGGCAACGAATTTGCCGACAAACTTCCACGGGAGGGCTCAAAGTGCACACAATTTGAACCTGAGCCATTTTGTGGAATCTCAAGAAGCCTAGCCCGATTGATCCTTGAAACTCTTTATCACAATAAATCACTTAAGATCTGGTCTCACACACCAGGCTTAAAACATTCTAAAACCTTAATCCGGGCTTTTGATCGTAAATTCGCTTCAGAAGCCCTGGGATTAAGTAAAAATAAATTGCGCATTTTGGCAAGAACCCTAACTGGACACTGTTACCTAAAAAGCACATGTCCATCCTGGGACTATGCAACTCAAGAATGTGTCGGTTCTGTTCCATAACGGAAGAAACGCCTCTACACATCCTAACTGATTGCGGACTCTTAATGCGCAAAGGTAACACTCATCTGGGAAACTACCTACTCCGCCCAGAAGAAGTGAAATTGCTCACGGGTAAGCAACTCCTTCTATTCATTGAAGACATAGGGCTTAGCCGTGAACTATAGCCATAGCAGCGATCACAATAGATCTTATAGGTCGCAGTGATACTGGTCTCTTTCCCTAGACCTGCATAGCTGCTCGCATATAATAAAAAAAGAAGTCTCTGACGCCAACAAATCAATGTTGACTTTTTCCTTAAAAAGTCAAAAATTATTCGCCACATTTCTAGTTGAAAGGTTTAATATTGACGGTTTATTATACTCCTCCTTGCTTTAATATAATATCAATCAAACCGTTTTAACACACTGCCTTTTACCTTTATGCATTTAACTATAACTTTGCAATAAATATTTTGACTGCGTCATGTTTTGTGTGGCTTAAGTAATTGAGACTGTTCACTTTATTTTATTTATTTATTTAATGTTACAAAATGGTTACAACAAATTACATTATTAAAGTTCTATGGTTCATAAAAGATAGCTTGATCTCTGCGACAGCTGTCAGTAAAAATCACGCCTATGAAGTCCTGAATTTCTTAGTAGTTCAGACAGTCAATGTCATACTTTATGGGCATGCCGACCTAATTAGTGCGTGCCCATAAAGTATGACATTGACTGTCTGTACTACTAAGAAATTCAGAACTTCATAGGCGTGATTTTTACTGACAGCTGTCGCAGAGATCAAGCTATCTTTTATGAACTATAGAAAAGCTTCAGTCCTCTAGCCATAGAGCATATATTACCAAGAACTAAAGACTACAATAACAACAGTATTGCCATCTTAATAAAATTGATTACGTAAAGACATCTACTCCTTTCTAATTCTCGGATTTTTATGTAAAAGATGCACTAGCTAGAGCGGAAGTCGTATTTGATGCAACAATGTAGTTAGTTATTTACGAATAATATTAAAGTTCTCAGCCACATATACACAACCATAAAGCTAAAATAAAAAACAGGCAATTTTTTTTATTAAAATTTTGTCAAATTGTTTTTAAATATTTACTTATAATTTCAGGCAACAAAAACAATAGGACTAGGACAAACAGTAAAGAAACGGAAAAATGAAATGAAAACGGAAATAAAAGAAAACTTCGACACCAATGTTTTACTATATGTATTGGATTTTGTCAAGAATGATTCTGAAAATGAAATAGTTTTTGATCGTCTTTTATGGAAAAATGAAAGGAAATGGGTGCATAATATAATTGGAGCAATTTCAAGCAGTGACAGTACTGTTAGTGTTGATTTTGACACTGTTGCCCAGATGGATATTGCTCAACAGATAAATTCGTATAACAAATTCCTTCTAACTACAGAAAGTGAAGGAACTGTCCCAAATCGGTAAATATACTATACAAATTACACAACCAAAGCATCTTAATACTAAATTTTGCTAATATTTGCAACTTATATTTCAGTTATTTATGTTTATACAAAGAAGCACCAGAACACATGTATTTAATAACACCAGATGACTTGCGTAAGGAAGACTCTGATGGCGAAGATAGTGAAGAACCAAAAGGTACTCCAGAAAAGGAACAAACAGTAGAATTAAAAAAAGATACATTGAGTAATGACACTAGTAATGTAGAAAAAGCAAATAAGCCAAAGTCTAAACAAGATAAAGAATGCACTATAGAAACATTATTAGCGACAATTACAGAATATTTCTTGGAATTCATTAGCGATGACATCTACACGGAGTTCAGATTTCTTGGGCCATTTACAGTGAAAGAAATAAATGCAATAAATATTTTCATTGCAAAATGTACTAATTGTGATTACAGTGAAAATCATAAACTAAAAGAAGCTTTTCAAAGTAATGAATATAGCATTGACATTCAAGATTTTAATGGTAGCACTGTGTAAGTATTAAATAAATAATTTATCTCAGTCTGTCAATATTTGCTGATATTTTTAATTGCGTTTTTTTTTTGGCGAGATTGAAACAGCAGTTTTTCAACAGTCATTACCTACAACAGGATATTACTTATCCTACGTTTGCACCAAAAATATCAAGCTTATAATGTTTTAAAACTTGTATAAAATAGGTCATACAACATGTTTTTTGGCACTTGCATTTGCACTCTACGAATATGTGTAAATTTTTCTCTGTTTGCATTCGCACTTAATAAAAACATATACAATGTATATATTTGACATTGGGTTTGTCAAGCTTTCCACTCGCACTGTTGCTTAATTTGTCTCCCAATTTGTTTTTATGCTTGTTTTTGATGTTATCCAAAAGGTTGCTAAACATAAAGTCGATACAAATAGATACTTCCAAGAATATAGGTATCTGGCACTATTTCTATATATAAAAGACAATCATTTTTGTACCATACGTGTTCCTAAAACATTTATCCAATTATCTATCATGTCATTAAATTATTTGTTGTGAATGCGCCCGCAATCGTGTCTGTCAAAATTTTTATATTACTTTGTTTTCTATGCGTTCCTATATAGTTATTTTGCACACGCCTGTAAATGTTTTTCTGCCAAAAATGTTATTGAAAATTGAAACGCATATAGGGTACAGCTAATTCAATAAAATAAAATAATGAAATAAAATATTGTTGCGTGCTATAATTAATGCCCGTTATATGGCGGGTGATTATTAGCGCCATCAAAATAGGAGGTAAGATCTTTAGAACTCTCCCTAGTGTCGAGTGGCGAGGGCTTTCTGGAGGATTCTTTGCTAACTTTCAACATTCTACTCGAACATTCTAGATGTTTTCGCTAGAAAAGGTCCTATATAAAGTCGGTATGGAGCGCGACCGGGACAGTATACATGGGACAGTATACGTGGGACAGTATTGAATTGACGACACTAGCGAAAACTTCGTAGCGAAATAAAGTGAACTAAAGTGTTAAGTGTAATTGATTATTAGTGTTTTTTGAGTTTTAATTGGTGTCGGTAATTAAAGTGTCAATTTTGGTAATTCAATCGGCAGTTTTAAGCACATCTACAGACGGTTTCATTTTTGTTTTATATTTTCTTTATGATTCGCACAGCTTATAAAGTCAAAACGAATAATTTAAAGTTTAATATTACATTACTTATGAAAGTTATTTTATTCTCAAACAAATTTTATAACAAGTTTTTATGTCAACACATATTGCAAAGGGTACTGTATATGTGTTGACATAATTATGACACATTAATTAAAAAATATTAACATAACAACTGTTCTGGACACTATTAGCATTTTATTGAAAAAAAAAGGGTTTTAATGTTAAAAATCTTAGAAATTAAATTTAAAAAAGGAGCAAACTTCGTCTAAGACATGTTTAGCTTATTATGTTTTACATGGTTGAAGGTATTATTCCCTTCAGGCATTGCACGCAACTTCCAAATAACCTGTATATCTGCCATTGCAGTGTTCCTATGCTTTTTTTAAACAAACTAGTCTGATGGCTCCGTGGCGCAGTGGCTTAGCAATGAGTTGCAATGCTTAGGGCCCCGGGTTCGTATCCCGAATAGAACAAGTATTTATATGGGCTTACAAATAATGTTTCCGGGTCCGGGAAATTTGTGTATGAAAGCTGCCAACCACGATATAGGAGAAAATCATAGGTAACGTTTCCTTTTTTTAAACCAGACAAGCAGATTTTAAAAACTTGAAACCCAAAATGTCTAAAACTATCCATTTTTACCGGCGTTATTAGACACCCAGTGATCAAATATAATAAACTTTGAATTTATTGTATCCTGGAATCAATAAGTACAGTGTTTACTTACTATCTGTTATATGCGTTCTATTTTTTTTTCTAATTCTTTTAAATAACTTTTAAATAATAAAAAGATTGAGATTGAAATTGAAGTAACTGGCGCCCATTAAACCTATGATTCTACTCATGAGAAGTATTTTAAAGTAAATTAAAATAGTAGAAATAATCAAAGTACCAATATTAATAATTAAAAATTTAAATTATCAACAAAATAAGTAGTTTCTAATGAATATTTTATACTATTAAAACTACATGTGATGTTATATAATATTAATAACTTTTTTGTAATGGCGTTCTCGAACATTTCTAACGATATCGGTGAAATTTATAGCATGAAAAATCTATCTAGCTAGGTGTCCTTTTTAGGAAAATTTATTTTCTCTATGTTTTCACGCACAAAAAAATCTATCAAACTATTTTTATCGGTACTGAGACAGCATATCGATGAACTAAGGAATTATTCCCTCAAATTTTAATGGTGGAAGTAGCCAGCCTATAATTGATTAAAAACGAATAATTCATGTCTGTTCACAATTGGCTAGGACATATAACACACTTAAAGAACATAAATGTGAATTGCAAACCTCTTTTTTAAATTGACTTATTTTAATTTTTAAGACTTTTTAGTAATAATACTCTAGATTTGATTTTTTTTCTGATCAAACTTTTTGTTTATTTTGATATAACGGATTGTTATAGATTAATATATTAGTTAATAATTGCTAAATTAAGTCAATAATTGCATTGATCTGTGACTACGATAGGCCATGCAGAAAGTTTTGTGATTTTTTTTTGTATGTGATACTGACCAGATATTTTTTAAGATTTCAAATGCTTTAAACCGGAATTGTTTTAACTTCAAATGGTATTTATGGATAAAGGCTCTTGTAAGGTGTACAACTGCGTACCACTCGTATAACAAATTCTAGCACAGTTGAATAGCTTTGTGAGATGAAGAAAGAAGTGATCGCCCTTTAACTGCTGTAACGGAAGGAAACGTGCTAGCAGTGAAAAATTAACTGAAAAGAATAGGTGAATAACGTATCAAAACATTCAGCACATATTGCAAATTGGATAGGAAAGCATTCACGAGATCTTTACACGAGCACGAACACGATCACGTTAGGAGGATAGTTGGTATTGGGTTGGTATTAAGAAGCAGGCGCGCGTGGAGTGGTGCCATGGCATAGTTACTAAATTTACAAAAACAAGTAAACTCTTATACGTGGTAGAGCCACGCTACTGCAACTTATGGTTGTAACACAAATGGGTCGGCTTGACCGGGGAAGAAACCACGCTCTCACAGAATACCGGCGTAAAATAGCAGCTTAATACTGCTGTTTTATATGGTGAGTGTAGAGATCCGGAGACCCTTTTTTACTGGAAACGAGGCATTTCATCTTAGTTCTCAGGGGTGACAATGCATCTACGTTTCGATTCTTAATCGAGGATAAATGTAGATTCTATGGGCTACAGCATCCACTTACGATCCGGGGGACTGTGTGCTTGTTTGTCACCCTATTCTATAAAAAAAAAAACTTAAACAGTAAAAAAGAAAAAAAGGGTGCGGATTTATTTTTGTATCGAAACAGTTTCCGCGAGTTACACACATTTAAATAACATGACACAGATCAGCTATTCGTTTTGGAACAATTAGAAACTAACCTTACTGACCAAGATATACAGATAAGTTAATATGTTCATGTCAATGTTTACAATCGTGAAATTTTTAGGATGTGGCAGATAGATGATTTCAACAATCATTGTGCAATAATGGGATTACAATGAACTACGAAATGAATGAAATTGAAAATTAGATTAATTAATTAATTCTGCTTATGTTTTTCCGAGAAAAGATACAGCCCTCTGATTACCGGCGGAAAGGCAGTTGAAATTTCACCGCACGAAGACCCCACGGACCTACAGTCTTTACAGCAAATGGCACAAATAAGTAGTCTAAGAGACTTATATTACTCCGTTAAGTCGCTTCTGAATACCGCCCTGGCTCTGTACGATACTCCGGAGATGAGAGTTTGACAGTGTCTATGTACGTGGGGCTTTACTTATCTCCTAAGGGACCACTCATGCCGTCTAGTCTCCTGCCAGTCTCTAAATATTGGACAAGGCTCTGAAAACGGAGGAAACATTTATAGAGACAAGAGCTCTTCGGGTAACATCGTTCAGAACGATAACTCGACAATCTATCAGCATTTTTCTTTCAATTTCATGAAACCAAAACTAGTTGACGCCACATTATTAAACTCAGATATTGATTGAATTTACGAAACATTTACAATTATTACAAGACCACGTGTTACCGTCTAGTCTCCTGCCAATCTCTAAATATTGGACAAGGCTCTGAAAACGGAGGAAACATTTATAGAGACAAGAGCTCTTCGGGTAACATCGTTCAGAACGATAACTCGAAAATCTATCAGCATTTTTCTTTCAATTTCATGAAACCCAAACTAGTTGACGCCACATTATTAAACTCAAATATTTACTGAATTTACAAAACATTTACAATTATTACAAGACCACGTGTTACCGTCTAGTCTCCTGCCAGTCTCTAAATATTGGACAAGGCTCTGAAAACGGAGGAAACATTTATAGAGACAAGAGCTCTTCGGGTAACATCGTTCAGAACGATAACTCGAGAATCTATCAGCATTTTTCTTTCAATTTCATGAAACCCAAACTAGTTGATGCCACATTATTAAACTCAAATATTGACTGAATTTACGAAACATTTACAATTATTACAAGACCACGTGTTACCGTCTAGTCTCCTGCCAGTCTCTAAATATTGGACAAGGCTCTGAAAACGGAGGAAACATTTATAGAGACAAGAGCTCTTCGGGTAACATCGTTCAGAACGATAACTCGACAATCTATCAGAATTTTTCTTTCAATTTCATGAAACCCAAACTAGTTGACGCCACATTATTAAATTCTGATGAAACATTTACAATTATTACAAGACCACGTGCTATAACAGCACACGGCGGCATAATTTCAATATTTATCTTAGCTGTGTGTTTCATCAAATTAGTTTGGAGACTAATGTGCAAGTTTACGTAACTGTTCGCAAGTCCCAAGCCATTTGCCCCGCCCACATAGCATTTCTAATCTTTTCTAATTTAGACGAAGCGCCTATCAACGGTTTTGCTGTTTTAAAACGCATACCAAAGTAAATTTATCGAAAAGCACAGGGAAGATTTTGATCGCTAATTTTTTCACTCTGATGGAGAATCTGGTGGAAATTCTTTTACGATTACGAAACCCAAGAAGCGTCATTGCTTAATGGTGTACCTACTACCAAATGCTTGTCAGAAGCAACTCATGAATAACAAGCGACTGGCCACGGAGGTTTGGGGGCTACTGCTTCATCATGAACGCGCTGCATGCGCACTTAGCGCTTAAAACGAGGTACTTCCTAGAAAATGCACTAGCGCCGTTCGAGTAGGCCGAACGCTTAAGAGCTATCTAAAGCGGATTTCGGGTATTTGAAAACTATTATATAAAAACTTTAACCATTGAACTTTTTTTAGTTCGCAAAACTTTCTGTGTGGCCTACGTACTTTTCTCTATTTTAATATTTATCTCGCAGTTTGAATTTAAGTGTACAAAGAAATAATAAACATTGGTAAAATGTTTCTGTGCAGATGCATAATGTTTATTTTTTATTTTTAAGTACTTAATTTCTATTACAATATAACATTTTCATTTTTACAGGTTCTACAAGCATAAAGAAGGTACAGATACGTTGACGTGACAACAACATAATCACTTCAATACAAAGATTTCTACATAAAATGATAATAACATGTTTAAATTCCAGATATCAATTAAAAATTTACAAATAATTTCATTGTTTTTTTTTTTATGGCTGTAACTAAATGTGTTAAAATAATTTTCGCGAAATTAAAAATCATCTAGAAAAAATTAAAAAATCTTGTAACAGCAATTAAAAAGATTGATGGAATTGTTAATTATAACCCCCCCCCCCCCCAAGATTTAAATATTTCTGTGTTATGTTGGAGTTACGGCGATCTTTTTTTACCATAAAACATGGCAACTTTACCCGCTTTTTTGACGTCAGGCCAAATTATTTTTGAAGTATTAGTAACATTTAATTAATAGATAGCTTCCTAAACACAAACGCAAATATACGTTTCTTTACATATATTAAGAATGATTGCGAGAAAAATATCTATTTATTTAAGAAAAATTAAACTTAGAAAGTGGGTCAAAAATTTAGATTTTTAGCAAAATTGCCCACTTGCTAGTTTCGTTCCGAAACTAGGCTGCTGTCGGCTTTATTACTTGTACATAAAAACTATATTAGTAGACTGGGCAATGCCACACAAAATTTTGGTTAAAATTTTTCTAGGCGTACTTATGGTCCCCAAAATTGAGTGGGCAAAGTCATAAAGCCAATCAGAGCATTTTTCATATAAAACGAACTTTGAAATAGGGCTGTCTGTCACAAATGACTGGACAAATTGTCGCCAATGACAACTTTTGACTATGAAAATGACTATAGTTCGGAAATAATCCTCAAAGAAGGCAGAGTCAAACCAGCCGGATTTGGTACAATTGTACCTAGTTTGATCCGGAACTCCCTCCACCCACTCAGAGTACAGTTTTGTGGCTTTGAAAACAACATATGTCGGCAGACAGTATCCAGATGCACATGCAGTAAACATGATACAAATATAACTTTTTGTAGCATTTAGGATCCTTTCAGGATATTTGACTCTCCTCCTAAAGATACACTTAGAAGCGCCCGGATTGTCTGCTAGATTTGTCTCATCATAGTTTAGTATATGATTTGGTGGTACATCTTTGAGCGTTTCGTTTAGATTTTGAAAGAAATTTTCCATTTCCGTTAACCGTTTTTCAGCTCGGACTCGTTTAATATTTTGCGTTGTTCTTACTGTCACATTGAGGAATGTCTTTGCAAAAAAATGTTCAACCCACGCATCATCGGACATTTTACCATCAAAAATATCAGTACGGGAATTTTTTTGCAAATACTTAAAAACACATAGTGTATAAAATAAATAGACTAGAAACAAATAAATTAAAAATACAGATGCTATTTTTCGTTAAAAATTAAAAAATATCGTTATATATAAACAAGTTATTGTTAACAAACATGTATTGAATAAAAAGTAAAGGTCGACGATTTTCAAATCCAACTTTGTTCATCGGGGTTCCATAATCAGCAGTAGCAATCGGTACTTTCACCAGTTTTTCCTCTTCTTCGTCTGTTAATTTCTTTTGTCCCCCAGCTGGTTTCATATGCAATTTTTTCGATTTATTTAATAGCGTTCGACGTGGGATTCACAATTGCTTTTCAGCCTGTTTACCAGAAATAATTTTTTTTCTATCATTTCGACAGCTACCTCCATCTCGACGGAATTGTCTTTGTAACTTCTAGATCCTAGTCTTCTTCTATTTCTTTTTTTTTCGTAGCAGTGCGGGGTCGACTTTTGTCACTCATACTAAAATAAACGTTTTAGCTGTATTAAAATATACACAGAACCCCCAGGTTATAATTAGGCAAATAGGCAAAACCGTGAACAAACCATACAAACGGTCGGACCGTTAGTATGGTTAATCCACGGTTTTGTTATTCCCGTGAAAGTGCAATGTCTCTAAATAGCACAGTTAGTGTTTAAGTTAGGCCTTCAGTAATACAACAAAAAAACCGCATTCAATTTGGTGCAGTTTGTCGTGTTTGCGTGGTGCGCAAACGTACAGATAAAGTGACAAAACGACAGAAAGACAAAATTCTATAAACTGTATTTTTGGCTTCTATAGCATTTATAGAGACCCCTAAATTTATTTTTTCTTATATATCTCCCATATACAGACATCGACCTGTTACGATTTTATTACCTATATTTATATATTTTAGTGACATGATAAGTTGACAACCCTAACGGTAATATGTTGGTGGGCAAAGTTGCCAACAGAGTTTCAGATATACTAAGGTGACATTGCCCACCATCGTAACTATGAAATTGAGAGCGTTTGCGCGTTATATTATAGACCGATAGTGTTCATTGTTTACACACTGATGACGGATAATTTTTTAAGAAGAGCAGAGCTTGTGTTATGGGTACAGAAACTGATAAACATACTTATATATTTTAAATAATAAATATTATAGATAAATTACACGAAAAAAAATGATGTAAAAAATTGGAATAGATTCTTACCTGCTGCACTGCAACTGTGATTTTTCAACAAAGTTTTTCACTTCAGAATTCGCCCGCAAAACACACCAACCAGTTCGATGCTGTCTGACAAGCAGCTCACCTGATGGTAAGTGATTACCGTCGCCCAAAAACAACTGCAACACCCAGGGAATTGCAGATGCGTTGCCGGCCTATCGTATCGGTCCGGAAAAATGTCTGGTGGTAGTTGATTCCACAAAGAAGTTGTGCGAAGAAGAAAACTTCTTTTAAATCGCACAGTGGTGGACCGTCAGTCGTCCAGATGGTAAGTGATTACCGTCGCCCATGAACAACTGCAACACCCAGGGAATTGCAGATGCGTTGCCGGCCTATCGTATCGGTCCGGAAAAATGTCTGGTGGTAGTTGATTCCACAAGGAAGTTGTGCGAAGAAGAAAACTTCTTTTAAATCGCACAGTGGTGGACCGTCAGTCATCCAGATGGTATAGACGGTATCGCGAGTTTTGCCGCGATGTGTGATGGTGATATTGTGCGGCTGGAATTAGTCCGAACAATTCTTCAGGGCACACTCTGTGGTAGATGCGATAAAATACGCAAACAGATGCAACATCTCTTCGCAGTGCCAGTGAGTCAAGCCGATCGTAAAGAGCTCGGTCGCCGACGATTCGAACTGCTCTGCGCTGGATGCGATAAAATGGAAGAAGCTGGCACTGGGGAGCCCCAGCCCTGAGATGGGAACAGTATTCCATGTGCGGCCGAACCTGCGCCTTGTAAAGTTGCAGGCGGTGAGCCGGCATGAAATACTGTCCCGCTCTGCTGAGCACGCCAAGCTTTTTACAGGCCAATTTGGTCTTCTCTTTTGAGTGACCGCGAAACTGCAGGTCACTCGATATGTCAATGCCGATGATTCCGATGCTGGCTGAGGCAACAAGGAGAGTGCCTTGAAACTGAGGAGATACGACAGAGTTCTTTTTAGCGGTAAACGCGCAAACTTGTGTCTTCTGGGGATTAAACTGGACTACATTTAGTCGCCCCCAGTCCGAGATTTTGTTCAACAAAATCTCGACTTCAGACACAAGTTAGTCCCGGTACTCGGCGACGTTTTCCCAAGTTTAGTTTTCCCAAGAAATATTGGCACGGCCGGTGTATAAAGCATCACCAGTGCTGTCATCTGCATAGCAATGAATTTCACCGGTTTGTGATATATCATTGATATCCAGAAGAAACAGCGTTGGTGATAGTACGCAGCCTTGTAGAACACCAGCTCTAATGGGCTTGTAATCGGAGCATGCATCTTCTACTACGACCTTGATGCTCCGATCAGCAACAAAATTGGTGACCCAATTGCACAAACGCAACCGCGATGAGAGCGTGAGTGGCATCGTACTCCGGATCAGACAAAGGTCCGAGGAGCCAAGAGGGGCATCGGCGGGAACAGGGAAAGTACGTGATCTTCCACATCTGGAATCCGCGTTGGCGAGGTAACCAGTTGTGTCCAGACCATATAAGAACAGACATATAAGCAGTCATAAACAGATCCACCCTCATGATCGGTTAAACGATAACCAAAGCCATTCAGCCAGCGTGGTGACACAAAGGAGTGTTCTAATTTGTACCCTGGGTAGGAGAGATATGAAGTATTTAGCCGGAGAGGACACCTGTGTCTCGGTTATAAAGAACAAGGCCGGCTTCGCCGTTTCCAGATGGTACTGGACGGCGTTAAGGTTTGAGTGAAGTCCCCTGATGTTGCAAAAATTAACGGATAGCGTGACAGGGGGCGCCTTTGACTTATTGCTCCGTTTGCCCCGAGCAGGTTTAGTCTCGAGCGGAATTCCCACCCGCCCCCCAGAATACGATGGGCAGCCTGAGCACCCACGCTCCGGAAGAGTAGGGGAGTTTGGGCGTGGATGCTCAGCGAGGGATTCTCCGTCACCGGGGAAGCTGGTACCCTCCTGGGGTAGTATTATATTTAACTCCGCTACCATGTTAGGGGGCGGGTATTGGGCCTCCGGCTACCTGCACTCACCAGACGAAATGCAGAAGCAAAGCTTCTACTTCACGCTGGTTTTCTGTGAGGTCGTGGTACCACCCCGGTTTGAGCCGGCCCACTAATGCAACAGAAAAGGCTGTCGCCACTGTTAAAATCTACCACTGTTAAAATTTTAAAATTTTTATCCCCTTAGGGGTTGCAGTGTCAACAAAGCCAGCTAGTGTCTAAATGTCAGTTTTCCATGTTTAGCGATTTGGGCTGTGCATTGACACTCAGAACAACTTCTTTTATATATGTTTATATAGATATAAATAGTATGTTGTTATGTAGTCTGATTGTTATCTTCTAATTATGGAAAATAATTTAACCTCTGAACCCCCTAGCGGTCTCATGAGACCGCGGCCATATTCCGTCAAATCCCTAGCGGTCTCATGAGGTCGCACCCACCCACAGCACTTTAACCCATAAAACTTATATATAGAGACTACTTTTCTATGAAGAAGACTGGCATTATATAATCAATATGAAATACTGTAACCCCTAGTACAATAAAAAAAACTGTTATCCTATGAATATT